GGCGTGGCGCGGAGAAAGGTGTTCGTCTCGGAGACTCCGCGAGTATAAAACCGCGCGCGCCCGCTGCCTCGACAGTTCGTGTTTTCGCAGCACCACCGCAACCACCTCCAACGCACATCATGAAGGTTGTGGTAAGTGCACTGCGCTCTTGGAACTCTCAGCCAGCGAACTCATGCGCCACGGCTGGACCGGAAGAGGTGGCTTAACTGACTACTTCTGGTCTAAGGATCCACTCCCGACGATGGCAGGGTCAAATTCATTCTCTTCTGCCTCGAGGAAAATCCGGAGACTCGAGTCAATCAATCAACCAAACATACGCAGCGTCTGTTGCGAAATCGGAGTCCATTTAGGGCGGATGTGATTGGATCAAAAGTTGGACTAAAGATTGTCAGAAATTCAGATTGTTTATAAAACATGCTTGGGCATAACACAAGCTATGTCACAACTATCAAAATTAAAGACTAGTTGAGCTTACGTATAATTCTAAAAATTGTCGGAAATTCGATATTTTTAAATATCATCTCAGGGGAGGCGTCGAACAGGAGGGTATCGAACAAAAATAAAGTTAAGTTTACGACACAAAATAATTATTAAAGTTAGTAAAATGTAATTCTTATATTCAGAAATTTTTCAGTTCATCCACTCTTGTAAAGGAATAGTTATCAGGAAACGACGGAAAATGTTTCATGACTGATTGGGCGGGTTTTGACCAATCAAAGAGAATGAACTCCCTCAGTGTATCTGAAAATAACCTGCAGTGGGAATTCAAAATGCCTGGAATCAAAGAACGATATTTTGAATAAAAATGAAAAACATATACTCATAAATGTTTTTCAGAAATTCAAAATGTTCAATTAACTTAACTTGTTCTGTGTCAGGAAGAAATCTGCTGGACTTGAAGGATTTGGTCAATGAAATTGAAATCAGCTGTGAGGGTCACATACACAAATTACCGAGGTTTAGAAGCAAACTATTGCCAAAGACATTTAGAAATATATTTCTTAAAGTGTTACATATTTCTTATCATTCTTAAAGTTTTAATCTGTATCTGAGAATTTTACCGACAGCAAAGTTTTAACCATTAGCGTCGTTGGAGAAATCGTTTACTTACAATAAATCTACGACATTAGCACAACATCTCTTCGGAAGGAAAACTGACTTATTACTGAAGATATTTACCATCATTGGAACCCAACCCGTCAATTGTTTTCATTTAATGAACGCTGAATATACTACACACGAAAGTATTAACGCCTGGCCATTGAGAAAAAATCAGAAATTTCATTTTTAAATGTAAAAATAAATTTTAAATTTCACCATCAAATTCAGTTTTTCCTGAAGGCGTTATCGAGTTTTTCAATATTGGATGGATTGCCTGAAGAGAAAGTAGAGCTGGTGGTTCCATGTTGCAGATTTTCGGTCTGTAAAAGAATCTCAAGCCCAAATTACTGAGGTAAAATCTCAATCTGTTAATCACCATTGTGATATCTCGGTTCATGTCTAGATGAATGTGGCAATAGATCTGCACTCCATTAATTGACGCATTATACCGCGGACAAATTGTAAGGGAGTCAGAGCTGAAATAGTGATCGCGAGGTCTACGACGGTAAAGTTTTAGAAACACCAATATACCATGTTATATCCTAATGTTTAACTCTCTCAAATGTCCCAACAACTCATATGGGAAGAATTTACATTCAAATTTTCCAGTCAGTAGAGAAATAGGTACAACTGTGACAAAAAATATATTTTTAAATTGAAATTTCTCTATAATTAAATTTCTTGATTATTAAATTTTCTTTAAATCATAATTATTTTATAATAAAATATATTTTTATTCAATTTTATTTATATCAAAATTATAATGCATTAAAATTAATTTATAAAAAATTCCGTTAACTAATGTTTTAACCAGTTGTGTGAGGTTCTTTTACATTCCGTTCGTGCACATGTTTACCACACTTTGTATTTCCTTTTCTAAAACAAGCACCCTGAGGATTGTTGGAACTTGAAAAGTTCGCTTTAAAACTCACTATTTTGTTTTAAGAACTTTAAAAACATATCCAACGTTCAATATGTACCCTTGTTGAAAATTTTGGATTTCTTACATTTTTTCTTGTGACTTATTCGAGAGAAAAATGGAAAGAATGAAGGTGATTAAGGTTTAATATTCACAAATCGAGAATAGACATATTGGGAAAGAACATTCTATATTTCAGGAATGTTACCTGTGGGTGTAGTCGTATTAGAGCGTTGTGGCAATATAATGTCCTTATGAATATTCTTAAGAAAGGGAACGCAGCGAGACTCATTGTTCAAATAAGATAAAAAATTTAAAATTTTAGAAAAAAAATAAAATTACGTTTTAGAAACGCGAATGAAGAAATCGATCATGTTATCAGATTTTTCACATAATTTAAAAGAATACAGAACGTTTTTCCCTTCAGAATTGAATTGAGAAGAAACGTTATCAGCATTCAGAATGTAAGGAGAGTTTATTTGGGACAAAATAGTAAAAGAGTGTAATTGGGACTTGTCTCATGGAAGATAAAAATAAAATTTCATTTCAAGAAAAATATGTCCAAAGATCGTATTTGCCTAAGAAGTATCCAATAATTTTCAATTTAAGTTTTTCTTAAAATATTTCAAGTTTGAGTCTCGTAAAAATTACCGTAGGGTCAATATAGAAACATGAATTTCAAAAATAAAATTTCAGTTTAATCTTAACTCAAAGATCTCTGAAATATTTTGATTATTTGTGAAAACGAATTCGAAAAGCAAAGAGTAGTTCCTGAATGAATCGTCTCTTTTTCCAATGTACGCTGTTGCCTTTTCTATCATGTTATTAGTGTAAGTGTCGTTTGAAAGTCTCTAAAATGAATTTAATACGTAACTCATGTAACAAAAAACAGAACAGGAGAAAAATCTTCCGTGAACATAACCATAACACGTTGAGAAATCTAAGACGTTATATAATTAGCTGCAGAACTACCATATCACTCTGCAACGGGCAAGAAATATGTGGTCACACATATTATGGTCATTAATGTTTCTTCAAAACATGATGAAATGAAATACCTAGGTGGACTGTAAAAAATAGAAATTGCATGGATAGGAAGAAATATCTGAAATGGAACATATGTGGAACTAAAATTAATCTTAACTATTACGAGCATCATTTCTACTTATATTTTCAATATAAGCAGGAATGCAGTCAACATTATTTGAACAGAGGCATCATTTTAGTTAATAAATAATTTGAGGTAAACTTTCAGTTAAAAATAATTTGAGGTAATCTTTCAGTTGCCCACGATAATTATTCACTTCTATTTTGCAAATTCTTATTTTCTTTTTAAGAGATTGCAATGGTATCTGTAGCATATCTGATGTAGACTTCAATAGAAAGTCTCAAAAATTAATTACCAATTAATTTTAATCAGTTTCTCAACAATTTCTTTCGAAATCATTATCTCTCAGTACTACGGAGAAATTTCAAAATATTGACGGTTTGAAGTTACTGTTAATAGTAGTGTTTCTAAGCTGCGAGCTTTTCTCCGAGAAAACTGGGTATAATTGTCACTTTCGGGCGTGCAATTTAAACTACACCCCTCGCGGCCATAGGCACTGCGACGTATGCAACTTCTCTGGGTGGTGCCTGATTCCCTGGTTTTCAGTGAAACTGACGAGTAATAATTAACTGCAGAAATAATCGTGAGCTACATACTAGTGTACTGTAGAGTATCAAACAATGAACGCTGCTCACACAATTCATACGTCCGTGAGATAACTAAATCTGTTCCTTGGTAGCGAAACATGAGTAGTTCATCGGAACCTATTCTTTTGTAGCGTGCATTAATAAAGCTTTGCCTGCCCGTCCGTGACTTAAGTGCGTCTATTTTGTTGCATGCCTTTAGTAAAGCTTTGCCTATTTATCCTCGATTTAAGTGTACCACTCCTATTGTAGCTTTCCATTAATTAAAGCTTTACCCTCCTGATCGTGACTTAAGTGCACCCGACGTTTTGTAGCGTACCTTTACTAAAGCTTTTCATTCCCGTTCGCGATTCAAGTGCGCCTGTACTTTCATAGCGTGACTTCAGTAAAGTTTCGCCTACTCATTCGCGATGTAAGTGTACCTGTCATTTTGTAGCGTTTCATTTAGTGAAGCTATGTCTGACCGTCCTCGACTTACGTGAACCTAACTGTTTTAGCGTGCCTTTAGTAAAGCCTTGACTACCCGTCTGCGACTTAAGTGCATATGTCCTTTTGTAGCGTTCCACCTAGGAAAGCTTTGCCTCCCGATCGTGGCTTAAGTGCATATGTCCTTTTGTAGCGTTCCACCTAGGAAAGCTTTGCATCCCGATCGTGGCTTAAGTGCATCTGTCCTTTAGTTGCGTTCCACCTAGGAAAGCTTTGCCTCCCGATCGTGGCTTAAGTGCACCTGTCCTTTTGTAGCATTCCATTTAGTAAAGCTGTGTCTAGCCGTCCGCGACTTAAGTGAACGTGTCCTTTGGTGGCGTGGCTTCACCTGAGCGCTGGCTGTTGCAGGCTTTCGTCGTCCTGGCCCTGGCCTGCGTGGCCCTGGCTGAGGAGAAGAAGGAGAAGGCGGTCGAGGAGAAGAAGCAGGAGAAGCGCGGAGCCCTGGGTCTGGGCTACGGCTACGGTGCTGCCATCGCCGCTCCCGCCGCCGTCGGCTACGCCGCCCCCGCTGTTGGCTACGCCGCCCCCGCTGTCGGCTATGCCGCCCCCGCCGTCAGCTACGCCGCCCCCGCCGTCGGCTATGCTGCCCCCGCCATCGCTAGGGTAAGACTCAACATTCAGATTTTTTGGCAGTGCAAGTCAATTCCATCGCAAACGGAGTTCCGCAAGGTTCGATTTCAGGACAACCCAAAAATCAACTACCCCAATGTTGTTCCAATGAAAACAAAATCATACACTGTATCAGTTTGAATAGCGAACGCGAATGCGTTCATCTAAAAAATCATTTTAATTATAAATTCCACTGTATCCGTCCATGTTAAGATATTTTTTTATTAAGGTTATCTTGTAAAAGTACTAATCTCGCCACAAGTCAAATTACCAAATCCAAAATATCTACCGTAATACTGAAATAAAAATGAATAAATTAAATCATGATGCAGTTTATTCATTTTTTCACTAAAGTAACGAATTTATTCATTTTTTTTAATTTAACGATCCATTTTAGAGTAAAATTAATATATAACAAGAAATAATACATTTAGTCTTAGAAAAACAATTTCTCCTTCAAATGAGAATTATAACATTTCTGAAAAATATCTTTTTTTGTAACATTTCACTTTAATATGCACCAGGGTCCCAATTATAATAACGTTTTGGAGAAACAATATACAAATTTATTTGCTGGGGTATTTTGGAAATAAACTGCTGACCGCATATCATTCTTCTAGCTCTAAATCTGAAATATTTTTTTAGCGTTCTTAATTGTGTATTTTATCTTGGCAGGTTGGCTATGCTGCTCCCGCCATCGCCGCTGCCCCTGCCATTGCCCGCGTAAGTATCATCTGGAAATTCATTCTCAAATACAAATGTTTTTCTGACAAATATTAGTTCTACGCTACCTATTATCCATGATAACAAACAAGAAACAGACAGGAATGTATTAATATGTAGACGATTCTACAATACCTGAGATTTCCGCCCATAACTTTATGATTGCGACTCAGAGTTAATTTTAAGTCAATTATTAGGATTTCCTCTTGTCAAAAATGCGAACAAAGATGTCGTTGCTGATGCAATGGATGCTGATGGATGTTGTGAAATTTTCATCAATGCAATTTCATTTCTACGCATGGAAATTACATTTTCGAGGCCATTAAAGGGCTACAAGTTCAACTTTCACGAGATGGAAATTTTTCCCTTTTGAATAACTATAATTCGACATCGGTTAGGCGGGCAGTTGTCACGCGTCTCTGTGACACCCAAACGACACTGCGAGGTAGAGAAAGCTCCAGAGCAAGAAACGAGGAAGAGCCCTAGGGCTCCAGTTGCCTCGTGCAGCGACAACGCGTGCTACCAACGGACACGAATTCAGGCCAACGGCTCTTCCCCGTGTCACCGGCTGACGCGCTTAACTTTGCAAAGAGGTTTAATTACACATGAGCGAATACGAGTATTTTCTGATAAATTCTTAACAAAAACACTTGTTTCCATTGGCAATCAGAATTCAACTTGTTTAGTCTGTGGGTTAGGTTAGGAACTCCAGAATTTACGAAAATGTCCACAGAATACACTTCTCTCCATAGTTCATCACGGTTTTAACTGTTTTTGAATTTATATAAAGACATAGAAATTTTCGACGGACAAAAGAACACTTTTCCCTCCTGTTAAACTTAGAAACCTTACCCCATCAATTGCATCCCTGTTCATCACGTATTAGCTACTACTCCTCATGACAACTCATCTTCTTTCACGACCATACATTAATAATTCTATTAATAATTACAATCCTCGTTTCATATATTATAACAATATTATTTTTTAATTCTTATACCAAGAAGCAAAGCCATTTACCTTAGCTAGCCACTTCGTGTGTGCTAATGTGAACTTTATCTTGCTAAAGACCGCAGTAGGCTTCCAACTGTTCCTTTTACGGTCCTTATCCGCCTACTTTCGATAATATGGACATAAACAAGAAGATACATTATCAGTTATAAATTACTACTTCAACTTTTAGTGTGTTTCAAATTTTAAAAAAATTCATATCTGTGACGGTGAGTGAAGTAGGGGATAGCTACATGTGGCGATCCCCACGTTGGAAATTTGTCTTGAGCTGTTATTTCCTTTTTTCTCGTACCTTACTGATGACGACCACGATACGTTCAGCCGCTTAAAGGCCCGACTTCTCATTCGCATTCGATCAACTGGATGTTATGTGTCTAAATATTAACCTCACAACTGCCACGTCGAACGTTTCGAGTGGGTCACGATGTTGCGGTTTCAAGTTGTTCGGTCAACCATAACTGGGTCTATCGTTTATTGCTGTTATGCTGAAGGTGTCTCTACATAAAATTACATAAAAGTGTTAAACTATTTAAGTTACGTTAGCATCAATGTTTTCACGAATTTTACACTTAATGAAGATATATAGAACGTTTTCAGATGGCGAAAAAAATTGTTTAAACAATTCCAACGCAGTAAGATGTTCAAAGTTTAGCTTTGCTTCACTATGTTGAAATTATGTTTTAAGAATACTTAGTACATTGAAATTATCTGTAATCCTTCTGTTCCTTTCTGAGAGGAATTTAAAAAGTAGCTTTGAAAACGAATACAATAAAAGTTAAAATCCTCCAATGGCAGTTATAAACTTGGAAAACATTCTTGTTTTGTTTTCTCCGTACAGTAACTGACGAGGGTTCACACTATTTTAAACGCATTAAAAATATAATTTCTTTAGAAAACGTCCACTACATACTCGCAAATAAACCTTTGTGAAGATGCTGTATGTAAATGATTCAAAGTGCACTTTTTTCTGATAGAGTATTTTTTTCTCAGGTTGGTTATGCTGCCCCCGCTGTGGCTGCCGCCCCTGCCCTGAGCTACCACCCTGCGCCTGTTGCCCGCGTAAGTACCCATCACGCGCGTTATCTCTGCTCTTCCTAAGTGAGATTTGCATTACTTTCTTGTCAATCACTAGCTCTCATTTGGCTTTCAATCATTCAAGCCACATATTCACAGTTTATTAATTTACTAGTCCTATTTCTCTGCCATTTTCAGTTTTTTTTGTTATTTTATTTAATTTAGACACAATTTCGATCATACCTCATTTAATCATTCAACTCATTATTTCACACTTCATTAATTCTCCTAAACCACTTCTTTTTATATCAAATCTACAGTTATAAATATTCTTCTGAATTCGGTTTCATCCAATTTTCAATCATTTCTTCATTTTGTGATGTTCTTTTGCTCCTGCAGTTCTTTTTTCCCATGCTTACCAGAGTAATCTGTTTTAAATGACAATTTTAGTAATTAAATGTTCTTCATATTTCAAACAAATTTTACGTTTATATAGTATTCAATCTTAAGTTTGTAATTTTATTTTACTTTCTATAATATCTAGTAATAGTTTCATTTCACATTAATTCGTGTTTTCATTAATTCTGAATGAAAAAAAATAACTTAATAAATTAAATGACTTAATACTTACTGATATTAAATTTTTATATTATTAGATTTGTACATAATGTAAATATGCTGAGAAGTGTTCTTCCAAAGTTGTTTCGTCACTCTTATTCATCTTTCTTTCTTCGAACTTTCCATTCAAGCAATCACTTGTTATGTCTGTACAATCCCTTTGTAACATATGAGCTTTATAATACTTTTCATTTCAGTTTTATGACAGTGTACATACGTTTTCAACTTCAGAGGTTTGGGTTCTATATATTTATCTTTCATCTTATGAAAAAACTCTTACTTGTACATATAAGCGCAAGCGTGTATATAGAAGCTGTATGTTGCATTAAATGTTGTACATATTGAAATCAAGAAGCAAGTTGCATCGAAGCCTGGGACGTATGGCTTATGTAAATAAGAAGAAAATCATATACACTTACATGATTGTGTACAGTATTAACAAGGATACCCCTCTGTCTAATGGGAAATCTGTTTCTACGAATATTTCGGTGGTGCTCCGATCACACACATGCACACGCAAAACCAGAATCATTTAACCAAAGGGTAAAAGAGGAACATGCAACAAAAATGCTGCGTCTTTCGAAATAATATACTTACGCTAACTTAAATTTATAATTTTTCACAAAATCAAGAAAGCAGCGATGTTGTCATAAATCAGTACTGTTTAAAATGATTAAATCTATCTAAATATTTCTTAAAAACTCTGTTGATGAGAACTTTTTGTTGCAAGTAAATTCAAATTATTTACATTGTTGTACATATATTCTTATGTAAAACTCCCAAGAACATTTGTTTAGGAAAGGTGACGACAATTACATGGGCTCCTTCAACACTTGGTCTCAGGAACGACCCAACCCGAAATGTATGTTCCACCCCAGTTGCATCACCTCTTGGCGGGGACGGTCTTTGCATGGGACTCAAGCGGTTCCTTCTCTCACTGCGGTCTGTTTGGGAGAGGTCATTGACCTGTCACATCCCGTAGTCTACCTTCCCGCAGTCGGTGGATGAGTTCACAGATCAAGAGGTAGCTCCCGAGTACCTGCCAGGCCCCTTCGAGTACCTGAGCGATTCGACCAGCGAATCGACAGTCGACATCGTCGACAGTGCTGCCAATGTCACCCAGAGCGACACCAGCACACCTAGAACCAAAGACTTGCAAGAACGTGGATGGAGGCATACACTGAATAGCCTGTTTCCTTGGGCATTCGGCTCCACAACAACTACGCCCAGGCCTACCAACTCAACGAGGAGAAGTTGGTTTCCTGGGTTTTCGCAGTGGAAGTCGGAACGTGCAGCACGAAAAGCTAGCAGACGAATACCTCCGATCATCATCGTTGAGTTGCATGTTAGTAAGTCGGAGAAATGTTTGATATGGCGAATATGACGCAGGTATGCTTGATTGCAAACTTTCTTGAATGTATCGGAACGTTCTTCGAATATCCTATTAAAGATATCTTTTTTCGAGACACAAATTCTGAATAATTCTCAATTTATATTAAAATATTATTCATTTTATAATTTCTAACATCTTTAATTTTTCTGTTTTTTATTTCAATGAATAATACTTCATCAAATATTTGTTGTTATTCCAAAACATTTATCACAATATAATTCATAGGGAAGTAGGTGACAGGTTTAAAGGATCACTCTCGGCGTTTTTGGGAACATCAAATTCATTTAAGCACGAAGTAATAGTTGCTACAGTCTTCACTGACTCATTTCCCAATATATTTCTCTACATCTGTTATTTTCAAATTTTCTTTCCGTAATATTGAAGCTAAAAAATTCTTAACTCCTTCTTAATGATATTATTCAACTAACCTCCCTTATGATCATTATTAATTTAAAATTGATTTTTAAATGATGAAGTCAATTATAGCAACACTATCATTTTGTAGACAGTGGCCAATGTAAGTGTGGTCTATCCAATGATTGAATTTGCATAAAATAGCGTATTATTTATTTGCGTAAAATTGTGTATTAGGTATTTGATTATCTGTATCTGTGTATTATATTAATCTAATGTTGTGTATAGTTGCAAGAACTAGCAAAATTAATAGCTTAAATAACATACATTGATACACAATCATTATCTAAACCCCGAGTGAAGTAGATTATGCGTGGAATTCATATAAGGAATGAATGTGGTCGTGCATACGTTAACTTTATCTCGATCTCCATCGCATCTAATTGGGAACGGGAATCAACAAATATGGCGATCAAAGCACGAACGAAACACGCACTAAATTTCATGAAACGTATTGCAGAAGTACCTTTATGGCAGTAAAAATATTGGGTCACGAGCGAACAAGAAACTACGTGGGTGTTCACAATGTTCTGTAATAAAAACCCGTTTTAACATTATATACAATCAAATGATATTTTACATCTCGGAACAACAGACGTTTACTATCTGTGAAACGCCAGATCCATTTTCCCTGATGAAACGTTCTTAGATCAGTGTATTGAGTTAGTGTGTTGATTGACAAAATATTAAGATTGTGTTACCATATACTCTGAAATTCTCTCTCCTAATAACAGTAGATCTACTTAATTAGTAATTATTTCATGTCAATTGTTTTGATTCTTGGTACATTATTGCCAACTCGCATACCACTTTGACTCCATTTCAAGTTTATTACATTACTTGTTTCAAAATCTCGAACTCTTGCTATATGACTTCCCCGCTTTGAAGTATAAATTACTACATAGTACGCAAAGTAGAAGAGCATTGGGCAAGGGACAAAATACGCCCCATTATTTACCATTTATAATTTTCTTGACAGAATGTGACCTAGAAATAGCTGCCTTGATTGCTTTCCCATTTTTCTCTTCAGTGGGCGTCTTTCTTCATCTGATAGGAATTTCTGACCTTTCCAGATCCGCCGTTAGAATTTAGTCCGTAGGCTTCTTATAGTCTTGATGATCTTTAACGAGCCGTAAATCTTCAATATCAGACACATGGCTTTACTTCCTCTCCGAAGGAAGGCATGCGCATGATTTATTTCGCCCTAAAAATCCACCATTTCGATCGGATTTGAACGGGTATAACTGTCCAATGCGCTAACGGGTACTCCACCAAAGCCTCATAGGACCAACTCTCCCGTACGTGGATAAACCCTCTCACCGTGTGGTGAATTGGCTGCACCGTTCGCCCGCCCGCCCGCCCGGTCCTCTGCTCGAGTGACCTGGCGTGGCCCAGAGCGATACAGATCTGCTCGGGAACACAGGAGGAGGAACCGGTCTGCAGTCGAGGGAGAGGTCGTTTCGACCGCGGCACTTTCTTCGCTGACGCAACTCGAACTGGTTCGGCGCCCTAGGCGCGAGGCGCGCTCCGCATGGCACTCGCAGTTCACGCGTCGCTCAACAGAGCGCGCTAATGTGATATTTTTTTTATCCTTGCTTCCCTTCAGTCGCGAAGACAAATAAGATAAAAAAGGAGCGTCGTAACCACAATTTTCTTTGGAGAGAACTTACCCAGTTTGATCTATAACCGACAATGATTGATTTTACGACAGTTTGCCAAAAACGGTTTGGAAATGACCCATTTTCTCCTCACGGTGATGTGACATTAGTACTTTTATTTTCGAAAATTTTTAGAAAGTATTTAATATATTAGCTCTCTTGCATTTGGAGCTGCCATTTTTCAATCACGGTCTGATTGAACAAAGTCCACCTCATGGCTTATTCAGAAAGTACAATACATTTTAGTTTTCTCTTATCATAAAATAAGTATCTAATACCATTAAAGCTTATTTAGTTCGCATTATCAGGATGTTACATTGGATACGTTGCTGTCATTGGGGATACAAATTAATGTCCACCATAAAAAGTGATAATCAATCTTTATAAAATATTTTTGTATTATATTCCAGAGTTTTCCTACAACACCATAGTATAATGTGAATCCAATTTTAACGTCTCGTGGAACACTCGAGCGTCTGTTGTTACAACGTCTCGAGTAAAACTGGCGCCAGAGAATCTCATGGACTGCTGATCTAATTAGAACTTTTGTTCACAGTTGACTGTAACGCATACTTCTAAACATGAAAATCTGTGTCGTGTGCTAGTCCTGATAATACCTCAAAATCATACTTCGGAAACATCCCATTCCTTTTACTTACAAGGAAAAACACGCTTTGCTAAAGTACTTATTTATTGCCTGCCGAGAATAATGGTTTTATGAGGATCCATTCTGCGGCGGTCGTGAACATTACTAAATTAAAATGCAACGCAATACAGTGATTGAAAAAAATGTATTATCTGAAAGAAATGGAATGAATTCAAGTAAAATATTACACATGGCGATAAACATAATTTGTCTAATAGAGAATGATACTTCACGAGTTGCACAAAAGGCGGAGATAATATCTTTCCCTTATAGATAACATATCACTGAATCGTCTTGTACATTAATTACACAGTACATTAAATGGACCAATATAATAAATGTTCCTGTAGTAGATGAAAGAAATATTTTTATTCTAATTGATAAAAGGGAATTTGATCTTATTATTTCGAAAATATCTCAAACTTTACAAAAGTGGAGCGGATAAGATGAAACTTGTTACAAATGATATGCATACCATTAGGTGCCCGTTAGTAATTGTAGTCTCGCCCTACCGCGCTCTTGAATAGTCACACATCGGTCTTTTAGGCCACTAGTAAAGTGAATAACTCTTTCGAACCCGATTCGCTGATTTATCCGCTTCGCCAAGTCCGGCCGGTGGCGTCGGGTGCCCGCCCCGCCAAGCGATGACACACTGGTGCGTTGGTGCAGGTGGCCGCCCCCGTGGTGCACGCCGCCCCCGCCATCGCCGCCGCCCCCGCCGTCGCCGCCGTCGCCGCCCCCGCCGCCGTGGGCTACGCCCGCTACGGCGGTCTGGGCTACGGCGCTGGTCTGGGCTACGGCGCTGGCCTGGCCTACGGCGCCGGCCTGGGCTACAGCGGCCTGGCCGCTCCCGCCGTGGGTCTGGGCTACGGTGGCTACGCCAGCGGCGCCCTCCTGCACTAAGCCCCTCCTCGCCGGCCGCCTCCGGAGCAACGCGGGACGCCACGACGGTGAGGCGTTGCTTATAAGGCTGCGCTGGCACGGCTCCTCTGGTTCCTTTTAATGATTCCTTGAGTTGGTATTATGGTTCATTGCTGTTTCATTGTTCGTGTATGTCAGTATAAGACTAGTCCTTTAAAGGACATTCTCATACAAGTAAGGGATGCGTATAAAACATCGAAATAAACAGGTCTCCGGAGCGTGAGAGGAAACTGAACCAGGTCGCGAGAGCGAGGGCCGGAAGGTCCTGTCCGCTTGGATCTGTCGGGTAGCCACGTGCGTTAGCAACATTTACATGAAAATGTTCCTCTCCGTTTGCTGTTTTAATCATATTAATACAATGTTTGGATCATGACAGCCAAATCATATGTTTCGCGCAGAATTGGCGGAAAACCATTTTCAATTTATTCACCATGTTGAAATCCCAAGCTTCATTGATATTCAAAACAAGAAAACGTGATTAAATGTGATACCTAATTTAAATTCAGTCTGCGTCGTACACCAGTACTTAAAATTCCCGTTTTAAAATTTGCAATTCGAAGGAGGTTCCAAAGAATAGGAAGGCATGGACTATATATCAAGAAGAAAATGCGAGTTCTAGTGAGAATCTGGTCTTCTTGTAAATGCTCAATAAAGATTACGGAATAGTAAACGATATTCTGCTATTCATCGCGAACGTGGTCTGTTTAGAATGCTAATAGACCGTATTCAACTGTCAACTAATTTAGAGTCAATTGAAACTACAATCAAAGCATTTGTTATCCACTAAAAAGGGCACGATTGTATAAATATGTCGTTTGTATGTTGATACTTCGTTTACTACCAGTTGTTTCTCAATAATTATTTGAATTCTTTTGAAATATTGTGAGCCTCATTACATAAAATTGTTTTGACATTTAACATCGTACTTTAGTATGAAAAAGCCTTGAATTCATGGTCAAAGGAGTTTTGGCATTTTGACTTTCGACGTCACAACTATACAAAACTTACATAATGAGACCAATTGCCCTAATATAAAAAAAGTTACACATTTGTACACCTATGTGAAGAAATGTAAACATTTCTCCTAACTCGTTACATTTTCTATATTATTAATGTTATCAATCAATATACACATACACAAAATACTGTAAATGAGGCTTAAAACTCGTTCTAACACAATATTACCTGTTATTGTACACATCATATTTAGATTACATGTCCATTACTTAATCTTTACTCCTTATTCTTGTTAACTACTTAATTCCACTGAGTGATACAACATTCGTTTAATACAATATTGTTTCTATTTCAGAATTCCTCGCCTTCCGCAGCATGTTCCCGAGACTACCACAACTCTTTGTTGAACTTTCATAAAACATCTGTTGTTTGCACACCATCTTCACAAAAAAGTCTGAATATTTATTTCCATCTTACTTCTTCGTACAAAATGTGAATAAATTATTTTAAAACTTTTATCACAAAACGGATATAATTTCTTTCATAGTTTCCAACATGTACATCCTCTTTCCTTGTTCCATTTTCGTCCTCTTTGTAGTAGATATATTACTACTATTACGTCCACTTAATATAATAAAGTATCATTCCTTTCGGAGCTTAACCGAACTTTCCTTTCTTGTTGCCATCTGTTTCAAATAGTCCATATGAAGATTGTGGAACTAAAATACCATTGTGGATACAAATACTTGGCCTCGGCAATATTGCAATCTTAAGGCCGTGACAAACGCACTAGCTTAACACAATTTCTGAACTAATTAAAGATGGTCTAGCTTCTAATTTTCCTCCTCCTCCTTGTTTTACTATATCATTTCCTACACTTATTTTTTCACATATTCTGGCTATTTCTCTATTTCGGCTTCTTTCTCTACTTCATCTTTATTTCGACTTCTTCTAGTGCTGCTTTTCTATACTTTCACTATTTCTACTTTTCCTCGCTTTTTTCCCCTTCGTCTTCTCTATCCTGCTCTTTGTTCTATTGCTGTCATTATGTTGCCAACAATGCGTCAGAGATCTGGTTCATGACTTAACAGGACGATAACTATATGACAATGTTAATGATTCTGATGTAGATGGAAAGCAGTGCTTGCCAACGCAATGCTCTGTGACGTCACAGATATCTGCTTGCCGGGTTCGAACCGAGCCACGCAGCGAAGGAAGTGCCCGACGTGGCGGCGGGCACACAGCGCTCCAAGGAAGGTACGGAAGTGGGAACAAAAGGCTCGTTTGGAAAATCGATAAACACGTTTCCTAAATGGTAATTAATATTTAGAATGTTTATGATTCAATAACAATATAAATAACAGAACCTACACTATTACATAACTCAAAGCAATACACGACTCTTTATCATAACCGGTTGTGTAATTCCAGATCCATTCTTCTATGAGATAACAATTTTGTAAATGACAATTTTAACATTCTAGCACCATTATATTTCATAAAATGGTATATAATGCAACGAATAAGTTTATTCATTGCATTATATATATATATATATATATATATATATATATATATATATATATATATATATATATATATAAATGTCTCTGTGATTAGAAAAAAAATTAAATGATAATTAATTGTTTTCTGATATAAAGCAACAAAATATATAAAAATATATTACAAATGCTCTTCTATTCTTTCGTCCTTAGGATCAGGGGAGTAGCTAGGCTGGTGAAACTGTTGCACCGTATCGGGTTCGGAAGTAATGGGCACTTGGTTACAACCTCCACTGACGGATATCGGAAGTATAAACCCAAATGCACTTCCAAAGAGGTTTAAACATTTTAAATTTACGTTAATTACCATTTCGTTAAACTGCTCCCAGAACCTGTCTACGCAACCGATAAGGATATTTGAAGAAAAAGTTATCACTATGTTTTGTTTAAATACTTATTTGCTACCTGTTCATTTGCATTACTATTTTTCCGCAATTAACGTAGAGCCGAAAGACGCCAGCAATTAATCGAAAGGTACTTACCTGTCGATTACTTATTTACCGATTACTTAGTTACCGATAATTTAATAAAATTGCTATCACTAACTATAATTATATAATTGAAAAGTAATCATGAAAGTCGTAAATGGGAATAAAACAAGTTTCAATTTAAGGAGGACGAAAAGTATCTTTCAGAAAAGGTGATCAAATTCGATAATAATGAAATAGTTTTGTTCTGATGAAAAGTTTTGAAAATTGAGTGAAGTTGATAATTTGCGATAGAAATTTTTTGTGAAGTTAAGTATAAATGTTTTGAAAGAATTAATTTTAAGTTCTCTGTGAATTTATTTATTTGATTAAAATCCGTACTACGTATTAACAACGATATTCTATCACGAAAGAAAATACTCCAAGAAATACTGAGAAATGCCAGTGCAGAACTTAAAAAACACTCAACATTTTGTAACTATTGCTCAACAACAGAGATTAGAAATTCAGCGACTCAGAAACGTAAGTGTCATCCACAATTGTAAATCTAGGTATTGTGTAAGTGTAGGAAATTCATTTTTAAGATAAGACCAACGTGTAATTCTTTGTGTGAAGATCGAGGATAACGTAGGAGGTTATTAGAGCCCACCATTTTTGTAAAAGGGATCGATGAACGAAAAACGTTGGGAATCTCTCTTCTAGACATGCGAACATTTGACCTGGGGAAGACTGCCGAGGCTCTACTGTATTGTAATTTGTAGTCTACGCGTACTTCTTTCTTCTTGTGGCAGTGTACGCGTTAGTGCAAATACGCCTTTCTCTTCCTTGTCTCTTCAGCCCTCTCGTTGGGCTTCTCCGGGTGGACATTTATGCCGATACATACCCTGTTGGGATGAAACTTCTTACAGCCACTCGCGAAGCGTCGACCTAGAAAGCGCCTATGGTTAGTATCACGTACACGCGAATGAGGAAGTTATAGTCAAAACGATCCATTTTTACACCCAACATTGCCCATAATCATTATAATCTGAAGTAAACGAACATTAAGCCATAATATAAAAAAAGTTTTCAAGATTTTAAAATGATTTTTACCTTATTATTTCGAGCTATATCCACCAATTAGTTATAATATAGGTGTTGTGGTGCGTTATCGTTGGCATTTCTAATGAAATAATTATAAACGTTGTCATTGTCAACAATAGTATGTCAATAATAGTATGATGGCTAAGCCATCGAAAGCTGCTCTTGTAATAAACACTATTGTTGGCAATGACAACGTTTATAATTATTTCATTAGTTATAATATATTTACCTTATATCTACATCATAAAATTTTTATTTTTACACAGTTGTTACTTTTTACTTTTGTGCATCATTTGAATAATTCATTATTCCACTTCAGAAAATTTATACTTGTTTTGATTATATTGCATTTTGTTGTATTGCATTGATTTTATATTGTACTCCACATTATTGAGTCCTTATGTTGTTCAGTATCATGTTTGAAATATTTAGTCAAAAAACGACAATAAGTTAGGAACATGTGAGGAAAACGCAGGGAAGAGCATAACAAGGCAACTTAAGTTTATAGGCGGACTCCGCGCAAGGTTTCAAAAGCATAGTTCTTTTATTTTTTAAGTATTCTGGTTTGGCTAGTTTTAGTTTACTTTACAGAATAATTAGGTGGAAAGGTTTTTCTTTCAATCAGAATTTTCGGTGTTTTCCGAATTTTGCCTCAACAGCGAGACAGATGATTTCGGCAAAGCCGTTGCAAGCCGACTGTGTAAATAATCACATTACGTTGACGGAGATCATTTCTTTTATTTCTTCATTGTATATCTCAGTATGCAGAGGAAATGATCCCCTAAGTTTGAATAATCCTAGCATTAGAGGAGGGGGAGTTCAGAGCCCCACCGATGATTCATATTTTTTTTCTTGGTTTTATTTTTTTAGAACGAATAAGACTCTTCGATACTATGTCCAATATTTTTTTAAAAATACGATCCAATTTATCAAGAGGGTTTTTTATATTTGAGTCATTGTAGCGAATTTGGCTGTGGAGAATGAAATGGAAACATTTCACTCACAACTTGAACATTGAGAATACATTTTTGAAATATATGTAGTGTTTCAGTTCTTATTATAATACATTACTATGTATTATTTTTATATATAAAGACGGATAATTATATATATAAAGACGGAAATATCAATATAATCAACATCTCTTGTCTCAACAGCCCTCTCTTGAAGGAAATGTATGTGTCCTTCTATACCCACTTATTAAGGGTAAACACCGCATTTACGACATTTTCGTTACAGATTTTCCTTTTTGAAGTGAAATTTTCAGAATTTAAAATTCCGTGTAAGCGCTCTCCTTCTCTCCCTACATTGTACAAACTATTTTTTATTATAGTAAGGTTATTTAATTGCATTTAAATTCCATGGAATTTAAGCACACATACGGACGTATTTTACGCATCATTCAAATTATTAAACACACACACAATTGTTTGTACGAAATTATTTTTTGAATGAGAGACGAAAATACGTTTTTTAGATACATTTCAATGAAATGCAATTTTAACCTAAACGAAAGTAAGATAATGTCAACATGAATAAAACTCATTGGTATAGATTCATTTGATTTGTTAGTGTTTCCTAGTGTGTCAGCTTCAAAGGTCCAGCATTAAACATAATGTACGCGCGCGGGAGGTAGCGTTCTCATCCCCCGCTGGGTGGCGCCGTCCTCTTGACGTTGGTTTGCAGGGGTTTCCCCTGTCTAGGTATCTCCCACCACCGGGGTACCCTATGGCCCCAGAAGGGGATCCCGATAGGACTCCCGGCATGCGTGGTAATGCACTGCATGTTAGTGTGTGTGTGTGTGTGTTAGGGGTGAGAATAAGGCAAGGAAGTGGAAGGTAAGATCGCGTGCGGTCCATGGCCCGTTTGTTAGGGTACTGCTCCGGCATTCGCCTGGTTTTGATCGGAGAAACCCTGGAAAACTACCGATCAGAGCAGCCGGTCACTAGGATACTCCTCCAGACAGCAGCTGAATTGTCGGTCTGTACAGTTCCTAAGTTGATCTCCGTATAGATAGTTTGACGATATTTCCGGTTACTACATTAATTTATTCTGTTGTAACTATTGACTGATGTTATCAATAGCACATAACACTCCTTTCGTAGGATAATTCTTTTCCGGAAACGACGCCAAATCATTTTCAGAATTGTTATAATTATAATAATATTAAACAGCACAACTGGTTTTGCCTTATCTGAAATAAATCCACACGTCCGTTTGAAAAAATGAAACAGGGTTGATTCCAAATCATGTTTTGCAAGCTGGAAGTAGGCATTATGAGATTTAGTGCTAAAGATCTATTTCTTTTCTTAAAGAAATATTTATTTAATTTAAAGATATTATGTGACATAAATAATATTGTTATTTACATTGTTTTTTGAAAAATTATTTTTGGTATCAATTGGTTTTCCTTACATTATAGGATTTGATAGGGATAGGATTAA